ATAAGCATTGTATATGGATCAGGAATTCTATGACTATGGTTTATGTTAGAACTGAAATTAGAGGTAGTGTACAGTAAGTACTGAAAAAAAAATTGTGGAAAGCATGAATGAAAGCATGCTATATCCTGTCAAGAGCTGCATGCTGCATGCCTTTCTGTTCCTCAGATGAGTAGACGGAGGTGCGGATTAGCACACAGTGTTTAGAGAGTGCTATGGAGCTCAAAATCCATGAAATAGGCAGGCATGAGCAGGCAGAGAAGGTGAACCACCGTGCTTCTCCACAAGCCTCAGCCTGGGTGGTGGGAAGCTGTGCTGTGCATTGGTCATGCCCCGCGTCCACCAGTCACTGGGTGCAGACTGCCCAGACTGAGGAGGCTGGGCATCAGGGGCATCCTGGGGTAATTTTCAGGGTAGGATGGAAATGGGGAAGGCAGTCAGCACATTCCCAGCAGCCGGAAGAAAGATTTACTACCATAGGGGAATTTTTCCATGTCCTCTCTACCTCCCAAGCTTCCCATGCCTCAGGAGTATGTCCAGCGTCTAGAAAGCTTCTTCCCCAAATAACTGCAAAATTAACCTGAAAACCTCCATTTCCCTTTTTAGATGTGCCTTTTTGAAGTGCCTTATTCTTTCTCTATTTTGCACTGAAGTACTTAAGTGTGTCTCATCTACACACTCGTAAGCCCGTGTCCTTTTTTTTTTTTTTTTTTTTTTTTTTTTTGTCTTTTTCCTTTTTACCGGTACTGGGGATCGTACTCACGACTGCCTGCTTGCAAGACAGGCGCTTATGCCGCTGAGCTAAATCCCCAGCCCCAAGCCCGTGTCTTTTAATGCATCAAAATTTTTGCTCACTTACCTGATGGCTCTTATTAGTATATCTTCGCAGGCTAGAAAATAAGCTTCAGAAGGCCAAGGATCTTTGTGTATTCAGTGAATGTCATGAGCACGTATATTACTATCTATAGTTATTTAAGTGTTTGTAAAACAAATGGAACGTGAGTGTTGTCATCAGGTTGGCTTTATGAGATTATTTGCAATCAGAAATCTTTGCAATCAGAAGATCTTAATTTTTTCCCACTTAATTTTGCTTGTATTTCCGTGTTGGTTAGGGGCAAGGTAGGTTTGGGATAGAAATAATTTTTTTCTTATTAATCTGTATTTCCCTTCAGCTTTTGACCCCATTTATGTAAAGAAAATGCAATGGAGTGGGAGGCCACCAGAGGGCACTGTGGGATCTCTTTTGGTGCATTACATTCCCTTAAAAGATTGCAACAGAAGCAGTTTGGGGACAAAAGATTGAAAAAAAAAAATCAAGCATAAAGGAATATTTTGCTGACATAGTTAATGGCTTTGCTTGCATTGGAAAATCTCTAGGATAAGAGCAATTCAAATGATATTTGAACTATTAACAGAACTATCCCAGAAAAGATACATAAATGTCCTTTAAATATTACCAAAAATATATTGTCTGTCATAATTTTAAATGTTAAGTAACACAACACAAAGATTCAGCTTTTAAACTACCATATTTTTAAAAAAACATATACACCCCTATATTCTATTGGTCTCAAAAATTGTGGGTAGGAGCACAAATTAGTTTGATTTTAAATGAAGAAAATCTGGCTGTATATTTAAAAATTAAAATTACATTTACCTTTGACCTACTATCACATACAGGAATTTGGCCCACAGATGTACGCCTTGAATTCTAATTTTCCGGGCATATTTATTATAACATACTTAATAATAACAAACTATGTTTGAAAATCAATTTTAAGAGTCTTCTATTTAAATGTATAGTTTAGCAGAATAATGGAAATAAAGCCTAAGCTTATGAGAATGTTCTTTATTTACTCAGATAGAAGACATTCTGATTTATGTTAGACAAAGAAAACATAGACCTGTGTTGATGTTGAGCATTCACTTTTTTAAAAAGAGCCATTGAATAAGAGAATATATTATGTAATATGTATTACACATATATATTGGTATTTGCAGGGGCACAATGATGTGAATAAGTGCTATGTTGAGGGGAAGGTAAAGGAGTAAGGAGGAGAGTATGGCTTTATTTTTCTATACTACTCATGTTTAAGTTCATTATCATGGGAAATCATTACCCATATGTACAGAACAAATAACTTTAGTATGCATGGAGGAAATCTTGGGGCTAGTCAGTAAGAAAATATTGGGAGTTCACCTTTTTTCTTTAATCACTCAAATGCATTTGGTAACAGTAGTGCCATTAGTAGTAAAGCATTAATTTTCTACATCAAATCAATTATGTTTAGTGCTTTTGGCAACTTTGAAATGAATGAGGTAAAGTTTTTAGCCACGCCAGACCAAAGTCTCAAAGTGGGTTGCACTTTCCCTTTGGAGCTCTTCCACAGATTTCTTGTGGCTTTTCAGGGTAAATACACCATGTACCCTTATCACAGGCTGGTCTTCTTAATAGGCAAAGATGTTACTGAATCTTTCCTTATGTTGCTGCAGACTTATTCCAGAAATACACACTCATTGCTTTATTTCACTTATTCTAGAAATGCACACTCATGTATTCACTTTATGTTTACTCAATATCTATGGTTAGTGAGCTTCCAGAGGAGATCCATTTGTCTGACATATCTTTCTCCTTCCTTCCAGGCATTCGTGGACAAATAGGACAATAGGCACAATCTTGTTACTTTATAGGTGGTTGTGGTACCATGGAAAAACAAGTAGGGAAAAGCCATTTTTCTTGAGAAAAAAACTGCAGAAGGCCTTAAGACTTTTTCATGGACTGTAAATTAGGAGTTTTCTAGACAGAGCAGATTTAAGATGGAGGAAGAAGAATCATTCTTAAGAAGGGGCCTTTGGGGGAAAGTATGGAGGTTTGAAAATACACAACATGTTGGAAGAAGTGATGGTGCGTTCAGCATTCTAGAATGTTTATCAATTTATTTTTGCATTTTAAGAGGCACTGCTGTCTCTAACATTAAGTACTTTGTAGCAGTGTGCAGTCCTTGCATTCTATGGGAATTAGTCTATCAACAGCGCTCTGAGGTACATAATCTCAATACTATGTAGATGATTTTTGAGAACTGTAAACATTACAGTTATACACGTAGGTAAGGTTGCAGCTCAAGTACCAATCGGATTCCAAATCCTGTGCACTGAGATATAAGTCAAAGATTTTCTGAAGATTTATTTCCCCTTATATCACCTTTTGTCTTTCTCCACTTACTCTCTAACTTTGGAAACTAGCAACAGGCTCCCATATACTTAGGACTCCAATGCATTTACTTCCATAGCTAAACTATGCAGGCAACCAGAGGAAAAGAAGAATCCTGTAATGCTTTCTTCAGGTTTTCTCTGTCCCATCATCTTACACTACCTGTGACCCCTAAGAGAGGACTCTTTCTGTCCGGAGGTCCTGGCTGCATCCCTTAATCCGTCCTAGTTAGCAGTAGCTGTTCCCTGGCCTCCTCCCTGAAGGCTTGGGGAGGGAACATCTCCACCATACGTTCTGCTGTGTTTTCTCTGCCTACCGCTCATAGTTTTAAAAATAGGTTCTCTATTAAACTCTCCTGAAATTATCCTAATTTGAAAACGCCATCTGTTTTTATGTGGCACCAAATCAACATTCAGAAGTTATTGCTATTATCTAAGTGAGAACTGCTGAAATTCTGCTGTTGCTGTAGCAGAGGAGATGAAGGGGGTGAAGGAACTCTCGCATATCAGAAAAATCTCAATCAAAAAAAGAGCAATATTCACTTTCAAGGCTTGCAAGTTGCATAAACCCTTCAAATTGCATTGGAAAAACAGTAAATAACTGCTAAGAAGGTGGAAAACAATAAGTAGTTTCTAGCTTGACATCAGAAGTTAGAGCTTGGGGGACTGGGAGAGGTTCACCTGCATTTGTTGAAATGTGGTAGTTATTCACAGAGGATATTTCTAGAATCAGGTGGTGATCCAAATATGCAATTAACAGCAAGTCCATACAATGAAATTGAAAGGGTCTCCTGGTATGCAGATCAAGCTGTAGAAAATATTGACCTTGTCAGTTTTGATTTGGAAGATTTAGGTAAGCAGGGACCATCAAGAATATCAGATAATGGCAAGATCCTCCCCATGTGAGTCAGTCAAACACCAAATCCTGGAAAGGGGGACAATAGCAAAGACAAAATAACAATAATAATAATAATAATAATAATAATAATAATCCTACTGGACCGTTGAAGGGCATTGCTGCATCTCTTCCATGCTTACCTAGAGTTCCTTAAGCCACTAGTTATATAGCAAACTGGAGTATGGCCCCATTTGAGGAAGGTCGAGAGGCTTGAATTGTGCAGAGTGCTGGATGCTGCCTGGCACCTCCACTTCACATAGGCAGCCCAGCCCTAAAATTGGTACCAAGCCTATGCCTGTATCATGTGGCAAAATGTTCTGTTTGCATCTCAAGTTTCACATGAGCAATACTTGGGTGTGCTGGACAAAACCGCAGGGCTGTTCATCACTATTCACGGTGAGGAACGTAAACTAAGACAGGCATTAAATTAATGGAATTGCAGTTCTAAATTTGGTTTCCTCCTGAGATCCATGTTCATCATAAAAATGAAGTAATATTTTCAGCATTAGCTTCTTTCTGGAATTTAAAAAAGGATTTTGGTTTGTGAATTTCAAGAATAATAAATGGAAAGTGACTTCCTAAATTAATACATCAGTTACTTCAAAGGGTTAAATCAAAGGGACAGGAATCATTGAATTGAAATGGTACACCACCTTTTATAAGGATGATTTTATAGGAGATAAAATATAGATGTCCCATTGACTCATGCAGGTGCTATATTAATCTTCAAGGTGTAAATTATAGAGGTGAAGAGTTTACACTGCTTCCCTTTGTGGTGAACATTCTGATTGGGTATCTTGTGTGATAGGAAAGATAATGAATATCTTATTATACCCAAAGTGACAGGAAAGAAAAAAAAAAAAAAATGACTGACGCTCTATTTTGTTGTATGTAGGAATAAAAGGCAAGTGGTTCCTGGCCGGATACTGCAGCGAAAGGTGTGAGCGTGGCAGCAGGATGGCACCAGCGCTGAGGGAAGCCATGGGCTTTGGCCCCAGGTGAGTTCGATGTCACCCATCGGGCTGGCTTCCTGTTACAAAGAGCCTGCTCTCTGCAGCTCTAAGGTGGGAGTCACACTGGCACTCCATCAGTCCGCCTCCCTTTCCACAGCATTGGAAGGTTTGGTCTCCTTTAAAAAATTATCCTTTTAAATTCATTTCTTCTGATCTTGCACGCCAATATCCATTTTCCCCTTCTCACTGAAAGTGACAGAGTGCAATGATGAAGGGATTTCCCTGTGAACCAAGTATCTCGTTGTCAGAGCTGTGAGTGAAGCATCATCCATCCCCCTTCCTGGGGAGCAAACAGGGGACAATTCCTGGAGGTGACTCAGGATGGGGGGTGGTTGAGTGCCTTGCTGTTGCTAGCAAAGGCCTTGATGAGTCTTCGGGGGGCTGATTCACCTGAGGCCCCAAGTGTTGTCCCTCTTAGCATCAGACCATTAGCATGGTAGGTAGCACAAGAACTCAAAAGATGCCTTCACTTCTGGTTTTACAAGTGTGTTGGTTCAGCACTGTGACACGGATTCAGTTTTGATTACCCCTGAGTCTGCTCTTTCATGAACCTTTGGCTAGCTTGCATGTGCATGTAGAGACATTATAGGAAACTTCTGTGGGATAAATAGTAACAGGCAATGAAAGACAGATGTTAGACAACATTAGAAATTTATGCTGGTCTTAAAAACATACTATGTCCTATATATAACTCACATAGAATCTCTACCTTCTATGGTTACAAAGACGGAGACCGAGTAAGGTCACAAGGAAAGTGCTGTAAAGAAATAGAAGCCTCTAGTCCACTGCTATGGAAGGCTGAGGCAGGAGGATTGCAAGTCCTCCTAATGACTTAGATATACACTATATCAAAATTACAAAAAAAGTCTAAGTATGTAGTTCAGTAGGAAGGCTCTAAGTACAATCCTCTGCCCCCCAAAAAGACTGCACAATAACCACTTGATCTGTTTATCAGATATCTTAATGAGACTTTATTTTACGAGGAATTTACTATCTACTTATTTAATGTAAGAAAAATTAGGACTGTCTGAAAAGCTTTAAACTAAAGGATATTGCTTATCATCTGTTTAGTAGCAGTGAAAATTCTGTACAGGGAAAATTTGTAATTGTATAGAACTCACAAGAGTTTTAAAATAATCTATAGAACAATTAAAACTCATGCTTTAGAAGAACACTTAAGACAAAGAGGAAGAAGAAATTTGTTTGTTTAGTTTTGTATTTTTTTGGGGGGGACAGGGTCTCACTATGCAGTTTCAGGCTTCCTTGAGCTCACTTTGTAGCACGCTGGTCTCAAACTCCCAACAATCCTCCTGCCTCTGCCCCCAGAGTGCTGGGATTACAGGCATATACTACCATGCCTGGCTGGAACAGGTTTATTCTCAAGATTTAAAGAAGAGGAGAATAATGTAACAACAGAGCATTATTAAGATTTTTATGTGTATGGAAAAATGCAAAAGAGTCATTGTGATAAAGTAATTACATTTACCATTCTATTTTTTAAAAAATTTTAACTATGTTTTCAGAATGTATATTTTCAACAATCAAGGGAAAAACCCTCTTAATTTTGAAAATTAAGTCCACAATTTATCCACTAGGCAAAAGCAGGGCTCTGGGGAATAATGAGGTTACAAAGAGTTCCTATACTTTCTAGAAGCATGAAAATTCAGATTACAAAATTGCAGTGAAATATTCTATTTGTATAAGTAATAATATTCCTACATATCATTTTATAGCAAAGAAAATGCCTTCTTATTTAATGGCAGTTATAAAGGTAAAAATAATAAGTGTGTAAAGTCCATAAAGAATGTGAGAAATTTGAGTAATGCTTTTGAGGCTAACTATAAAGGAATTTTCTTCTGATAATACTTATAACATTTGGTTAAGCTTAATTGTGCCACCTGGCCAGCTTGGGCTCTGCCTCAGGGATGACTGAAGCTCACTTCCTGTGTCTGGTGAGTCATGGAAGCATGGCCTTGGGTGCTATGTCTGGGCCCCCACTCTTCCTCGCTGGCACTCTTCCCTGCCTTTGACATGAGCATAGTTTTCCACTATGACCTTCAGCCAGAAACCTCAGTTTCTGCATGGAAACAAGCTAAGCATGAACGGAATCCTCTGGATCCATGAACCACGTTAAACTTCTCCTCTAACCAGTAGGTATTGAGTGTTGGATCTCAGTTATAGGAAAACTGACTAATACAAAACCTTTTAAATTCAAACTTCCTAGAAAACACAGTTCACCCTCTTCTAGACTCAGTCTCCTTCAGATTCATCTTCTCTTTCCTCCTTCCCCTCTAACAACATGAACAAAATTCTGTTTTACAGGGAGGTGTGTAACCAAGATGCCACCTAGATTGGCTGAGTAGACCACAGTCAGTCTCAGTGCACAGAACGTCAAATTTAGAAATATAATCATATTGAACACCTCCCTTTCTTCATGTCATTACTGAATTTACACTTGATAATTAATTGATCACTTTTCCATATTTCTCCTCAAATACAAACATTACAATATGAAAGTTAACTAAGTATAAGGACAAGCTATAAAGATGGCAAGAAAAAGTGAATAAAATTCTAGTTTAGAAATGGCAGCAAGCCAAAATATGCAGAGTGTAGATAGGTTGCACAGTGAGCCAAATTCAAATATCCGCTCTGCCATATACAGAATTTGTTGTTCAAAACATATTGGTCTCTTTATGCTTCAGAGACATACATTACTCATTTATCCTAAATTTCCCTACTCTGTAAATCAGCTAAACTCATATTTGTAAAGGCACTTTTAAGGTGCTTAAAAACTGCTAATCGTGGCTAGATTTATAGCACCAACCAAAAGAACAGACACAGCTCAATCCAAGCATCGAGTTTAAAGAACATAAGTGAGTTTCAGAAATAAACTGGCCTTCAAAAGATAGTGTGTGTGTGTGTGTGTGTGTGTGTATGTGTGTGTGTGTGTGTTCATCTGTGCTTCAGAGGAGAAAGAGATTACTTCTACTGAATCAGATGCTGAACTTGGCCTTCTATTTTCCTTTATCTAATCCAAAGTCAGTTATTACAAGGCAAGTCTCAAATACAGCATTGAAATCCATTGGTGTCAGGTCAGTGCCTCTCTCCGGAGTGTGGGCCAGATTCATTTTTTTCCTACTCTCTAGCGCCATCTGTCTGTGTTTTGGTTATTGTGGTGATGAAATATCTCTTCTAGGAAGAGGATCTGGAAGAGGGTATTTGCTGATTAAGTCTCCCTGTCTTTTTCATTTTCATTCATGTAGCCTGCCCATCAGATCAGTGTGGTTCAATAGTTTGTGATAGTCTTTTTTTCCTCAGATAAAAGATAGAATCCCAGTCTGAGTAAGAACCTGCCCTAGATAGTGAGCACAGCACGTAAAGCAACTTCTTCCATAAAGTCTACTCAGAAAATAAATGTGATAGGAAAATTAAAGATGCAGAGTATTAAGATAACACTGATTCATTGATCTGGAAATTAACTCCGTCCATATCATATTACATACACTGCATGATCTGAAAGTTAAGCTGCAGCTAACATTATGCAGCAATGAAAGTTATTATTGCTAAATCTAAAGTAGTGTTAAATTTCAGCACTTGAGATTACATTTGCTGAAGTACTATAATTTAGAGAATATTTTGCAAAGTGTAATAAAATTGGAAATTGTCAGAAGATGTGAAATTTTACACATGAATCAGTGTTCATTTGTCATTTAGGCATTCAGTTCTAAAATAAAACAAAATGGATCTAACGTTAGTCACATTCAGCACTTAGATTTCAAAATAATAGATTTTATATAGTAAATTAAAGTGAATTAGACAAGTACTAATCAAAATATTTCTATCTTTACTCATGTGTCTCAAACAAATGCAGACGACACAAAAGTAAGCTGGATTCTAAAGAGACTGACTCTGACAATAATGCCTCTCAAAAACTAAAGAAAGATGTGATAAAACAAAGCAAATTAAGTATCCACTAGGAACATTTCATTGCCCTAAATTTTTAGAGACTATAGTATGCATAAAATATTTCTGTCTACAAGGAATGTATCATCCACCATAGCATTTACATCTATGTATGCTAAATGGTACATTATTATGTGTACATGTGCATATTACACTAAAGATAATATTAGTTTTAGGCTATACAGAATGAAGAAGCTGGGCATGGTGGTACATGTTCATAATCTCAGCATTTGGGAGGCTGAGGCTGGAGGATCACTGAATTTGAGGATGGCCTGGGCTGCATAGTGAGTTCCAGTCCTGCACGCACTGCGCAGAGACCTTGCATAGTAAACAGAAATGAAATGCACATTTTTAAAATAAAACAGACTACATATGAGTTAAACAGCTGAAAATGCTTCTTGGAGGAAGTCAAAACTGATGTATATCAAATAGCACAGATGAGCCTCTGGGGAATGGGATTTAGATGGAGGGAATGGTATATGTACCAAAGATGAGAGTGAATTTAGAGCACACAGGAAAATAAGTTAATAGATTTTTTTTGTTTTGTTTTTAATAAAGGGAAGTAATGTAAGGTAATGCTGGAAAGAAAGGAAAGAGATTAACTTTTCTGTGTTAGATTTCAGCCCAAGGAATTGGGATTAAAATTTATTTTACCTTTTTCCTCCAGTGATTTGTTACTTTTCAATAGGTTCAACCTCAATAAAATCACATTGCAGAATGCTAGTATACATTTTTCTAACCTAATGTGGAAATACTTGATATTAGAATTACTGGTTTAGTATACAGTAGTTTCTACCAAACCTGTGATGGTCATAGAAGAGCTTTATTACCAAAGAATTAATAAGTAAAATTAACTTCCTATGGCATATAAAGTGTAAAATTTAGTGAATAAATACTTTTTCCATCTTCAAATATTGTTAATTCCCTACATCTGTTAGTCCTAACATTAGAAATCAAGGCTTTGTGACAATGGAAATTAACCTTGGTACTGTATAGGAAACCTTTTATTATTTATAGCAAGA